AGCAGCTTTAGGTAGGAGCACTGTACAGGCTTATGTATGGACAAAAGACCAAGAGCTTCCTCGACAGGAAACCATTTCCTTTTACGTCCTGAAAAATTGCCTAATGTTAGGAAAAATTTCACATTATTAGGATTGAATGGGAATAGCTACTTTCATTCCCAATATAAACATAAATTTTAAATCATTAAAACTTAGATTACGTGTTAGAAGTATCTAGACTACAGAATTTTTAAAAAAATCATTCTCTTTGGTATAACATAAATTATTACCAAATACAATGGATAATAATTTTTTTATCCATTACACACCCACTCCTTAAAAACACAAAGCATTTAGCATTCGTTTATTTCATTTTTTCTACATATATTTAAATTTCTTACAATCAAAATATCAATACTATATTGACAGCCCAATACAAAAAGGCTATAACCAAAATTGGTAAATTTTAATACCATTTCAAAGTTTATAGTAATACTGAAAACTGCATTCTGAATTATTATAATATGAAACTTTTAAGTTGCATAAGGCGAGTTCATTGTCATTCACAAAATGTGTGCAACTGAAAGAGTTGACCTTTTGAAATGAGCTATTGATAAGTATACATACTACAGTCAATGCGAGTAATCTGTTATTATACATAATTACCACAGTTATTATATAAAATGACCAGTTATGCATAATTACTGTGGTTATTACTAATATAATAGCCCAGATCTGTCTCTCGGTAATGCTCCGACGTCACCAACAATAAAACTGAGGCCATAGCACTGCGAGAAGTTAAACAGCATTATTTCATTGTTAGAGTACCTAAATTTTAGTAATTTTAAATTTAAAAGAGTAATTGTCATTCTAATTTCAAATTTAATAGCTCTAAAATGGAGAAATAAAATTTTCTATCGATTGATATAAAATTTATCTCATTATGATCAATAGTTCCCAAGAAATTAAAAATTATATTAATCATATATTTCAAATTAATTCCCATTTTTTAATAGAAAGTAGTAAATTGAGGTAGTACTATATCATGCATGTGATATAGTTTGGACGGCACAATGCATCTGCTTATTTATTGCCATCGTGATGATATAATTTGACAATATTTTTTGGCAACGCTTGACAAGCAGAAAAGTGCTTTGTTTTGATTAGAATTTCAAAAAGCATTTCCTTTGAAATTTTAACTTTTGACTTACATTTGACAAGCTGAGAATTTCATGGTTATTGAATTATAATAAAATTGTTAAATAACGAAGAATACTTGACACTGAATGTTGTTTAATAAAATGTTTTTTGAAAAAAATTTGTAAATAAAAAAAATATTTCCTGTCATAAAACATATGCTTATTTGATTTGTTTTCAAGCAATATTAAACATTTCTCTCCCATATAACTATGTAACTATTTAAACACATCAAATTTGACGGAAAATCTCTCGAATGAAGAGGCAATTTGCACTCATCATACCATGACGGGAGATTTTCTAGTTATATATAATGACCATCTATATATTTAAAATAATATAGTAAAATGTTCAGACAGTTCACCAGCCCCAGCAACTCGATGGATTTTGATAATTTTTATTTCATACTAACAGTACCCGGACGGCGTTGCCCGTGGTATCATGAATTTCAACAAAATTTTTTTAAAAGCCCACAATGACATTAAATAAATTTTTGAAAACAAAATCAATACAAATATATATATATATACATTATTGATTTTGTACGCGTATTTTTCTTAGCGACAATTACATTAACTAAAGATACATTTTTCTTCAAAAAAGTGACAATGAAATTATAAAGTTTACTACAAACGATGCTATTGGAATTCAAACTGAGTAGAAACAACCAGCTGTTTCGCTCGCTAAAATGGAGTTATAATTCAGTAATCCTGACGCATTAAAAATCTTTGGATCCTGTTTAAAATAGTTAATTGGTGACATTAGATACTTTGAATTAAAGCCATTCAACGAAATGATTTCAAATTGAAGTTACATATCAAATACACCGATTTTTCAAAAAAAAATTTGGGATTAAAAAGATTGATTCCTGTAAACCAGGTAAAATGTTAAAGAATGAAAACCGAATGAAATTTTAAATGATTTCAAATGGAACAATATGACGAACATAATTTCTGTGGTATTTCAACCCACCCAACACCCCTCCACCCCCCGGGCCCGCCCAAAGAGTAATGAAATCTTGCATTTCAGGTTTAAACTTTGAAGCCACATTATGTATTTACCTCCTTGAAGACATTTCATATTTTTCAGTCTTCTGTAACTAAATAATTTTTTATTTTAATTAAAATTTAATTAATTAATTTTGCTAAATTTTAAGAATTATAACTATTATTCTGTAACTAAAAATATCAACCATATGCACAGCAATCAAAAAGTATAATAAAAACAAACAAATTAAAAGAATGATCTGTCGAAGCGTTAAAAGCAAAGGAAATATGACGTCACATGGTTTTGACAAAATACATGTTCGGAAAATATGTCACACGACCTTGATTACGAAGAATCACGAGGAAAAAATTATGAAGCAAAGGTTTTTTTTAACACTTCAGAAAAAAATTAATTTAAATTCAACCGTTCAATTTTAACCATTCTTGTTTTAAATCACGGAGAAAAGTTATATTTATTACTTCAAGAAATTTCATATTGATAACAAAATTAGAACGTTAGATGCAGCAAATTGAAACTCGAAGTCAAATTTTTTAGGCTTAACCAACTATTTTTTTAAAAATTTTCAAAATTCAGTAAATTATGTTAGACGTTCAAAACAAACTTCAATAGAACGGAAACCGTTTGTTCTTTTCAATGGTGTATATATTGTTTTCGTACAATTATCCGAAATCATGCTATTGATAATTTAGTACGAAAAATCACCAAAAACACAAAATATTAAATAAAAAAATGTTTGAAAAAAATTTAAAATTTGGGCTTCGAGGTGCATTGAGTCACCATTACGACTACATGTCTGCCAAATTTCATGGCTGCAAGTGCAATAGATTCGTCTCAACATCACACACACACGCACAAACATTGCCTTTTATGAGTATAGGTGAAAGCTTATGACGTCTAGATTTGTCATCAAGGGTCACCTGCCCCCCACCCCTATTTTTGAACGAAATCGAAAAACATAAAGAGGATGTATGGCGGAGAAATGTTTTTTCGATTTCGATCGAAAATGGGGGGCAGAAAACTTTTAATGACATATATCTAGCCGTCATAAGCTTTCATATGAAATAAAAATTATCGAAATCCATCAAGGGGTTGGGGCTGGCGAACTGTCTGAAGGTTTTACCATATTATTTTAAACTAGAAAATCACCCATCATGGTACGACTGGTGCAAATTGCCTCTTCATTCAAGAGATTTCCCGTCAAATTTGACGTGTTTAAATAGATATATATGCGAAATAAATGTTTAACATTGATTGAAAACAAATAAAATAAACATATGTTCTATGACAGGAAATATATATTTTTCTCTTTACATATTTCTTTATTCAAAAAAACCTCTTGGTCTAAAAAAAATCTAGTAGATATAATCTAGATAGATAGAAAATCTAGTTTGTAAAGAAAGCACTTCTCTGCTTGTCAAACGTTGCCAAAAAATATTACCAAATTATATCATCACAATTGCAATAAACAATGAGATGCATCGTGTCGTCCAAACTATATCACACACGATATAGTACTACCTCAATTTACTACTTTCTATTAAAAAATGGAAATTAATTTGAAATATATGATTAATATCATTTAAAATTTCTAGGGAATTATTGATCATAGTGAGATAAATTTTATATCAATTGATAGAAAATTTTACTTCACTATTTTAGAGCTATTAAATTTGAAATTAGAATGACAATTACTCTTTTAAATTTAAAATTACTCTAACAATGAAATAATGCTGTTTAATGCCTTGCAGTGCTATGGAGCGAGTTTTATTGTTGGTGACGTCAGAGCGTTACCGAGAGATCTGGGCTGTTATATTAGTAATATATAGATCCCAACAGTTCCATCAAAATGGCATGTCAAAAATATTGTAAAATACCTATTATAGGTGATGTAAACTGCTAATTTAGGGCAATATCATTCTGTATTTATGGATCTGAAGACTCATGCCGAAATTCATGAGAAAGTTATACAAAACATTACAACTAGATGAGGTTTATTGAAAGATATTATAAATTGAAAGGAATCTGTTATCTACAAAGAATATGAAATCTACTATGGTTTTATGGTCTGTTTCACTGATCTTCATGCAGTATTTAAAATTGAAAAAAGTAGTGGCTAACAGCCTCGAAGCAGAAAAGTGGCAGGGACAGTGCTGAGCAAAGTGGGTGCTGGCCGCGAACCCATCCGGAGTGCGGTGAGTTTATTACAACTACTGTGATGATTGCATATAATAGCTAGCTAAAGATCTGGCAATTATGTAAAATAACTGATTATCCACATTGACTGTAACATATATATATATTTAAAAAGAAAGTACAATATAATTATTGCAAATAAATTATACAACTTTTCTAACCTAATAATAATTCATAACATCTGCAATAGAATAAAAAATACTTTAATAATAAATATCAAGAAATTAATATACCATTGAAAAAAAAACATTCAACATCGTGATAGAAGAAAAAAATGGTTCTTTCTATTCAGAGGGGATACTTTAAATCTTGGAACAAATTCAGTCCCAAAAAATTGACTACATTAATTTGTGAATATTTTCTGTAATTATTCTACATGCTGCCTAATGGTAAGAAAAAGACACACCAAATGTTTCACATCTGCCAGTACCCTTTCACCCAAGCCAGTAGACCTTTTCCAAACTTCCATACCAAACCAGTGTTCCCCTCCATCCTGTTACCAGGTCCAACACCTGGTTGGGTAGGCCGGAGCAGAGTGGTTGTTGTGTACCACACCAGTGGGGAGGACATTTGATGCACTATGTCCGATTTAATGTGCAAGAAGCCCACATACATAGCAGATCTTCCATGGAATCCGGTTTCGAACCTGGAACTCTCCGGCCCGAAAAGCCAAAACTATACCACTAAGTCACCAAGGAACCCAAATTTTCCTCAAATATAGTATGAAGCACAAGAAAGATTTCAGTAAAGGTTTTGTAGCAATTAAATAATTAACTTCTTATTAATTAAAAACTATGCTTCCTTATAATTATCTTATTTTTAGTGTTGCCATCTCTCTATTTCAGACATGACACAGGCTTGGAACAAAAAAAGCTGAACTTCATAAATAACGAATCATTCCAAACATAAATACTGAGAAGTAAAATAAGTACGATTGATTGAACAATAAAATAAATAAATTTATACAAAAATTGCTTGATATATTAAAAATATTGTAGAATTATTAAATAAAAGAAAATTAAAAATAATAAAATCTGATGCCGAAAAAACTGAAATCCAGGGAAATGTGTCATGTCTGCTATTTGAATGAAAATATTTTAGATATTTTAATATTATAAATAGCTACAGTTATAATTTTACACCTATTTTAAATAATTTTATTTATTAGTCTCTCCCACTGGGGGGCATCACAAGTTCACGGATGAGAAGCCACAGGATAAATAAATGGGTTCTCACTTCCCTGGTGAGCATAGAATTGGCATAGGGTCAAGTTACCTACACTCCGATGACACGACGTACCTCCTTCGGAAGGGGTTGGACCGTGGTACTAGGACTCTGACTTACTTCCCGACTGCTGTCATAGAGTCGGCCATTCAAAAACCTTGGTACGCCCACTGGCATGACAGGGGTAACTCCATGAGAGCCTTATTTATTAGCCTTCAAGTTGTGAGTTGCAACATTTAATTAAATCTTGTATCATTCATTAAAAATTATTTGGTGCAACCGATAATCTCATTTTCACTAAAAATATAATTGCAGACAAAAAAGGACTTTGTATATTAAGATCTTTTACATAAGAGTGTTTTTCACAATAAAAATGTTATATATATCCTTATATATAAAAGGCACATACCATGACTCACTCATTAAGAAATCTCCCAAACCACTGGGACTAGATAATGTTTTCACTCATAGACTCAAACTTTATGTCACTTAAAAGAAATATTTCTAGCATGCCTACTAGGGATGTAACGAATATTCGGCAACTATTTGGTATTCAGCTCTTTTGCCAAATACTAAGCAGATATTTGGCTGAATATATTCAGGATAATTTTTTTTTTAAATGTGCTCTTAAATACACATTTAACAAAGAATTTTGCAGAATTGCATTTCAGTGCATTTATTACAGAAAAAATCTTGCATTTATCCAATTTTAAGTTGAATAGTACATTAATGTATTTTATAATGTTGCATATCATTTATAGAAGTGAGTTCCTTATGGTTTCATATATATCACCAGCTTCAGAAAATAAACAGTCACTATATAATGCTTGCAGACTCTGAAAGATATTTTCTTAATAAATTTGCAAACCTTTGAAATTTTCTGCATTTTTTTCCAACAATTAAGTGGACACTTTATTGCACCTATCAGAAATTCTTTATCAAAATAGAAATTTACTTTTACTAATTTTAATTTATCCATTCAATTTTCTTTTGTGTCTATCATTGTAATGTTCTGCAATGATGAGATTGATTTCTTTGAAGCAATCTCAAAATGATGAGGGTTTCTCATTTCTTATTATTGGAATGAAGGTATTCAAAACATTACAAATATGCATTATGGTATTAAAATTTCTTTAAATATACAAACAATTAAAAGTCAATTTTATTTAATCTTAAATTTTTTCATTTAAAATTTGAAAAATATTTCATTTATAATCAAAAGTGAAATGCTTTTAAAGATTTGGTATTCGGCCAAATCACTATTCGTTACATCCCTAATGCCTACATACCATTATGACTGGGTGATGTATCGATTTAGCGAAAAATATTGATTTAACACCTATATTGCTAAATCGATTTAAGCTTGCGCAGATTAACGATAATATCGATTATATGTCTACATCGCTAAATCGATTTAAGCTTATGCCGATTCCCGATGTCTACACCGCGTCCCTCCCGCGGGCGCGAGCATGTCCTCCGTTGATCGTGGACGAAACATTAGCGCATGCGTCATATCAATAGACCCTCGACCGCGAATGACAAAAAGTGGACATTGATTTAGCTTGATAGTCAACGTGCTCGCCATTTGCACGCAGTGGCGGACTGGGTCTAAAAATAGTGGTTGCCAGTAGTCAGTGAGGGCCCACACATATCTACAATCATAATATGAATTCATATATATATATTATTTTTTTATTTAATTTTTTATATTTAATTTTATTAATTTAAATCTATAATATTTAATAATTATGTATTCAATTTAATTTTTCAATATATATTTAATTTTTCGGCATCTTTAAAATAAATCCCTTTTAACACCCCTTAATTTTCTACGTTGAAAATAGTGAAATGATGATTAAATGATTAAAGTTATTTGATTTTAAATTCCGGAAGTTAAATTTTTCACATACGGTTTTAGCGACAAAGAATGAAGGAGAAATGCTGCCCATTGGTAGGGCATCTGTTGAAAGAGCCAGGAACTTTTAAAACAAACTTCTTTGGATGATTTAGAATTTAGTAATTTTTACTGGTAACGTTTCAGTAATTTGTAACTAAACTGGTATCATTAAAAAGACATTTTTGAATTATAAGTAATTTAAAAATCATTTTGTTAAGATAGTATCTTTTGAAAATATTGCGAAAAAACGCCAAAATCTTGCTTAATTTTTAAGTAACTGAAATTTTAATTTACTTTTGGACTTTTTAAAAGTTGACAATTATTTTCATCTTTTTTTGAAGAGCACGTGTGCCAAATTTCATAAAGATCGAGTAAAACTATAGATTTGTACAAAATACATCCTTGTAATGTAAACTTCTTTTGTTGTATTAAAATGCAGTCCATTTTCATTGTTTCACTAGTTTTGTTTTTTTTTTTTTTCCCTTTAAGTCCAGTCTTCTTTCTTTCTTCGTTACTTAAAATAAATTTAGTTTTTGATAGATTTTTCTATGTTATTTTAATAAATTTACTTTTTAGCGATGACATTAAGCTCATCTTTCCAATTAAGGCAAGATAATCTTCCTGGAGATTATGCAATTCATTTATTTGATATGATGAGGTTAAATTTTCACTTTATAATAAGCTTAATAATGCACAATAATTGTAGATTATAATTAAGCTACATTTCAAAAAATAATCTCGTGCTTTTTAGACTTTTTTAAGAGTGGAATGTAAAGACTTATGTCATTGGTTTCATGAGACACAAAAACATACTTTATCACAAACAACATTTTATCACAAAATAAGAATTATATCTAAGTATTTTTTCCCCCCATTTTATTACTTAAGTGCACTGCACATAGAATGAAATTTAAATGTTTGACTTGTTTATATTTGTTGTTTCTTAAAAACACTTCATGCTATTTTTTTTTAAGAATATTAATTTCCATCAAAATAAAATACTTTTGAAAAACAATTTTCTAAAATGTTTTTATTTTAAGCATACTATAATGATATATGTAATTACATCTAAAAACAAACTTAAAAAATTATCAAAGTGTAACTTTCTAATATCGATATACGGGCCATTCTGAAATTAAGGGGAATTTTTCGTCCCTGTTATTTTACCGGCTTAATGTTTATTCTTTTTAAATGAGGAAATTGGTATTGAGTCGAAAAAAGTTCACATTTAATGTTTGCAGTCTTTATTTTACATATTTCATATAAAAAAAAAATTCGAAACTATGAAAAATGTATTCTCCATGGAATGTCCCCACCCATGTTTTTTTAGTGTTAACTGAAGAAATAAATCTGATTAATAATGTATTTGTGGGAAAACTGTAGGTTAAACAGTTATTTATAAATAATTAACTATTCACAAACAAATACAAATTTTTAATTTGCTTTACCACTTTATTTTAAACACACAAATTGTCCATGGGGTGCTGAGGTAACTTCCATGGAACCTCTTTTAACTTGATTAAAATTTCACTAGACAGCAGCATTGTCTTCTTTACTAAAGAAGTGAAGCTCAAGTCAGGCATTTTATCTTGTGATGTTGTTGAATGCAGTTTTATTTTGTTTTTGAAAAAGCTCTTCAATCCTCGAAAATCAGGCAAGTTCTTTTTGTTCCTGTAACCTCTATGTGTTCGGTAACGCCATTCCTTATAGTGTTAAAAATACTTTTTCAGTTAATTCTTATTAAAATAGCCATTTTTTTCTAAAAGCAAAGCCAGTGAATCCTCAGTCTTTTAAGGTTCGGTTTTAAGCATGGCAATCTACTTATTTGTAACCTCCATGGGTTGTGTTAAACACGTAGGTTACAGTTAACCATGGAGGTTACTGAAAGTTATGTACACATGATGTTATAGGCCTAATTATTTATAAATTTTGAAGCAATTTTATAGATTGGTTTTTGATTTAACAATTGCAGTTAAATCTCTATCTTTGATAAACTTTTTTACTATGCTTAGTCAATGCATATACTTCTATGGCCAGATTTTTAGACAGCAGACCTATTCAAACTTTAGTTACTATCAAGCATGGGCTTGGGGGGGGGGGGAAGCCATGGGTCACTTCAAAATGAAAAATTTCAAAGTTGAAATTTTTCATTTTGGAGCAAGCCAAGGCCCCTTGGTCCCCACCCCCCCTCGGCCCCATGTCTGGTTACTATTTCGGTCTAAGCCTAGCTGAAATTATTGATTTAATTTATTCATTACAGTTTGAAATGGCCACAAGAAAAAAAGAGATGAAGAAATATCTTGGTTCAACCAAAGTTGTTCTTTGGTTCAGCTACAACCAAAAGTACAAACAAAAAAAAAAAGCAAAAACCTCGTAAAATAATCAGATGCTCAAACAGAAAAGATACGGCGGATGAAAAGAGAGTATGAACAAAGAAGGGATAGAATTAAGGAATATCCTGTGTTATATGAAGAACATAAAAGGGAAGAGAAAAATATAAGGCGAGAACTGAATGTGGAAAGATTGAAAAAAGTTTCCCAGATGTGTGATAGAAGAAAGAAAAAAAAAAAAAAAAAA